TAAACAAGTACTTCAATCAGTGATTCACTATAACAGACTTTTATTCCGAGCTAAATACTAAACGATAATTTCAAGTTGTCACCAAAATTACTAATAGATCACTCATTTCAACCACAAAGACAAAAATAAGCACCATATAATCAGATACCTTACATTTAAACAGAATAACATAATTAAACTATTAACAGGGTGAAGAAAGATTTTTCTTTTTTTTTTTCCTTTTTTTTTTTTTTTTTTTGAGACGGAATCTTGCTCTGTCACCTAGGCTGGAGTGCAGAGGCATGATCTTGGCTCACTGCAATCTCCACCTCCCAAGTTCAAGTGATTCTCCTGCCTCAGCCTCCCGAGTAGCTGGGATTACAGGCACATGTCACCACGTTCAGTTAATTTTTTGTATTTTTAGTAGAGACAGGGTTTCACCATGTTAGCTAGGATGGTCTGGATCTCCTGACCTCGTGATTCGCCCGCCTCGGCCTCCCAAAGTACTGGGATGACAGGCGTGAGCCACTGCACCTGGCCAGAAAGATGCTTTTATTGGCAACGATAATTTACAATCTTCAGAAATCTACTGTGACATAAGGTTACATATTTAAATTAAAATCATTCCTCTTTATGTTCAAGTTTCTACTATTTCAAATACTCAGCTCATTGTATTCCCAATTACCTGACAATTTCTCAATCCTTTCAGAGAGCATCTTTTTAAATTGATTGTTCACCTTCCATCTTCAAGTTATAGATTGCTACATTTTTTTTTTTTTGAGATGGAGTCTCACTCTGTCGTACAGTCTGGAGTGCAATGACACAGTCTCAGCTCACTGCAACCTTGCCTCAGCCTCCTGAGTAGCTGGGATTACAGGCACCTGCCACCACGCCCGACTAACTTTTGTATTTCTTCGTAGAGATGGGGTTTCACCATGTTGGCCAGGCTGGTTTTGAACTCCTGACCTTGTGATCCGCCCACCTCAGCCTCCCAAAGTGCTGGGATCACAGATGTGAGCCATGAACCACCACGCCTGCCTGGCTGATTGCTATATTCTTTAGCAAACTAGGTCTCAGTTTCAAAGATCTCAAAGTAAACGAGAGTAAGATATATTAAGGGAAATGCAACATTGACTTGAACCGTGATGAAGACTCTATTAAAAAGGAGGAAATATTTTAATAGTTCTTTCTCCATTAACAAAACAAGGTAACATCTGTACCTTCCTGACCCACCTTACTTTTGGTTCAGAATCAACAAAAAATAAAGGATCCAAACAGATGACAATAAAAATATAACTGAATCCAATGTGCAAAAACCCTTATTACTTCAACTGCAAATTAAACTTACCCAGTTAGAACTGCAGGCATTCCATTATCTTCTCCCTCATAGTATTAGTAGTCCAGCCTGCTCAGATAAGCCTAACATACAAATGAATAGACAATGTATAGCCTAAGAATTCAGAGTCCCAAAAATTGAATCATAAGGCATTGAACAAAAGTATACTCAATCCCTTCCCCTAGCCTCCCCTAATCCTCCTTTGGGATGGCCACTCAGGGCATGGGAAGAAGCTGAAAGCTATTTCCAAAAAAGAACTTCCTACTTTATGAGTCATGGTAGAAACATCTAGAGACAAAAATAATGGTTCCCCCTTCAACAAGCACAATCTTCTCAAATATAAAACAAATTCCTCAGAAGTAGTGCTCTTCAACAGGAGCATCTCACAAACACAATATTTATCTCCTCTTCTTTCATTTCCTATTTCAGAGAGAGGCAAAGATTGAATGAACAGATATTAGCCTAGCTTGGCCTGAGATGACTGAGCTAAAATGAAGAAAATCAAGTCTGCAAATTCCCAAAGCAGTCCTGATTAAAAAGCAGTATTCTATGTAGTCTCTGCACAAGTTATGATAAATTTAGCTACAAAAGGCAGACCTCTTCGTAAAACTGCACAATACACAAATGGGTACTTAGTCATTTCACCCACCTTTTCAAAATTCTCTCCCTTACCTAACTTCCTCTCACCCTTATCCCCAGTGAAGACTCTTAACTTGCCCTCTATATGCCTAAAAACCACCTCTTACTTAGGTTTGACCTCTAGCACTCCCATTCCCCATAACTCAACTAGGTATGAATCAGATTGTGTGATTAAATTACTTTACATTAATGGGTAAATGAGGCTTAATCCACAAAGGTCAATTCCATACATGTCATTACACTCTACTATGTATAAGGCACTAAGTTTAATCAATTAATGTACCTATCCTTCTTACAAGAAAAATTAACACAAATCAATCCTTTAAACAATGTAAAGAAGGGGCACAAGAATGTTTGCTTCACATCACAATTTCTCCACCCATTTCTTTCCACCCTGTTGCCAAACCCCTCCAATCTCCATCTGGCATGGAATAAAATCCAAGGGATCAGTACTTCTTCCAGTAAAAGTCAATGCCTAGGAAGACAATGTGGGATGGCACAGCAAATAATAAACATTCAAATCCTGAAATGGACTATAGATGGTGTTTTGTATTTAATTTTATATATTGGCTGCAAGTACAACAGAGCTTCTAAATAATCCGATTTCTGTATAAGATACCTATAAATCAGCTATGCTCAGAACTCTCAGTTCTTAAACCACAAATACTGAGATGTTTTTTCTTCAGTTATTTCCACAGTTAGAATGTTTATAGTAAATACCAGTTCAATTTGTCCTACCATACTTAAAGGCTATTAAATTTAACTACTGTTTTCAATTAGACGTGACATTTTTCCCAAGACCCCTTAAGTTTGGAACTCCAAACTTGCTTTAAACCTCCTTTTTTTCCAGTCATAAAATTTATTAATTTTAATCTATAACAGAGCTTCTAAACTGGAGAGGAGAATGCAACTATAGACAGGTTTGAATTTGATTCAGCCACATGATATTTTTAATGGTTTTAATTAGTTGCCAATATTTTTAAGACGCAAGACACTGAATGTAAAAATCTAGATTTCTGGTTTCTCTTGAGAATGATGAAGATGGGGTCCATATTCATATATGGCACTGATTAGGGGGACCTCAGACTTGGATGTCTCTCTGATAAGGCATAGTGCATTTCCCTCATTTTCATTATCTAACTAGTACCCAAAGGCATGTGAGTTTGTTGCTCATGCTATGGCTTTGAAAGGTGCATAATATATTCCATATCACTTCCATACTTCCCTAAGTCACCTACTATAAAAAGCCAAAAGCAGACCACAGTGGTTTGCAACTCCATAGTTAATAATTTTAAAAATTCACACAGCTTAGAAGGAGTGAGAAAGATTCAGACTTGTGGAAGGGTAACATAATTACATAGGGTTAAAAGTCCATCTGAAAGCTTTTTTGGGAGTGAGAAAAAAGATGAAAGAACACAAAAACATTGTTGAAACACTAAAAGCTTTTCTGTCTGAACACTGTTACTCTCTGGTGGTTCCTTACCACATTCCACCCTTTAGAACCTTCCTTTCTACTTTGTATGTATTAATATAATAGCAGTTAGGTCATACACGCTGAGAAATGTTGGAAACATTTATAAAACACATTTATACCATCAGAAATAATTCTTCTCACTTTTTTTTTTTTATTTTTAACCAGTCTTAGTTCATTTCCAAATCCCTTCCCAAGTATTTTCTACTGCTTTCTGCTTTATATTCAAATGACAACTTCAGACCTGGGTTTCAGGCCTGAACTTCAATCCTGGACAGGCTCTCTAACACAGAAACTCTTTTGGCCCTTATGGCTGCATTCTTTATTATATCTCTTATTCCGATTTCTACAGTCTCTTTCATTGAAAATTTATCCCTAACCCCCTCTCTAAAACATTTTGATCAAATTTGTGTACTTCGGGGGTTGGGAGGATAGGGACGGGAAGGAACTCAGTTGTACAAATACAACTAATATCCTGTGCTGTTTCATTTAGATTGCTAATTTAAATAAAAAGCATGAAAACTCTGAAAGATAATAAATCTTCGTAAAATAATCTCGTTTGCTAAGTGCACAAAGCCACAAGCAAGTAAAGCTCTATCTTTCAGCATGTCTGGACTACTGACTTTTCATCACAGACTCAATACTGACGAGAAAGCAGAAGCTGAAATCTGTGAGGCCCAGGAACAGTCACACTGGCCCACACTAACAAATTACTAACCGATGTCTCACCTTCCCCCGCCCCATTCCCAAAGATAAGGGTGTCAGGGCACCTGCATCTGAAGAAGAAAGACCGGAACCTCTTCCGTGCAAGTTTTAAGAAAACAAAGCTTTACCACACGTAAAACGGTTACAGCATAAAACCACGCAGCACATTAGTGGGGTATCACTCCTCTTCACCCAGAGGGAGGCTGCCCACCACCTTATTCCCTATTGTGATGAGCCCTCCTCAGGATGTCACTGCGTTCGTCTGAGATGACAGGAAAGGGGCGGGGCACGGGGTTGTTCTGCCCTGGAAAGGGATGAGAGTATCGCCTTCATCCCCGGGGAAAGGCCTCTGGACTCCCAACCCAAAAGCAGCAGCCGCAAAACTCAAGTCTTATCCCGGCCTCTCCTAATTGGGTGCTCGTGGCCGGAGCCCAAAACGCCACCCACAGTCCCCGAGCAGGGTCCGGTCGCCCAGACCACTGCCACAGCAGCCTGGCTCTCACGCCCAGATTGGCCCCTCCGCCCTTTTCCTCTTTCGCCCCAGCCAAGCCCAGCCTCCCGCGCCGCCCCCGTCGAGTTCCCCAGCTGAGTCCACTCACTGTCGAACCTGTAGTCCCCCTTCAGTGCCCACAGAAGATTGGGGGAAAGGCCGAGGCCAGTGACACCGCCACTTCCTCCTCAGCCAGATCCCTCCAGAGGCGGCTGTGGAGGCTGCCACTGAGGCGGCTGCGCGTACCAGAGCCGCCCTGGCAGGTTGCAGGCCGGTTCCTCAGCCTCTTCTCGCGAGAGCGCGCAATCCGAAGAGGCGAGGCCAGCCGCGTTCTCGCGAGAACGGTGCTCCCCTCCCAGGAGTGGGCGGGGTACCGAGGGACAAGGCAGTTGAGGGAGTGGCGGCCTCCGGTGGGATCTTAGCCTGTGGGCTGGCGGCGCGGAGGGGAAGGCGCAGCGCGACCTCTCCTGACAGACATCAGCGTGGGTCAACCGCGAGCCTGGATCCCGAGTGACTGAGGGCTGTTACCTTCAAACCTTTGAATCCCACGTTTTCCCATTGACTTCCTGTCACCGTTAGAGAAAAGCGGACAGTGTCTCGGTCACAGAGTGGGAGAAATATCTCAGGGACTCTTCAGGGAAAGTGTTTTCCTCATCAAAGCAAACCCCAAAATCGCTTCTGCCGGCGTGGACCAACTGGAACCGATGAGAGTCGGTCGTCGTGAGGGACACCCTCTGTTCCGTAGTGTACCCCGCTGCTTATTTTTAAACGCTCGGTTGGCGGGAACCCGTATGCCAGCTGAAACTCCTTCAGTTTGGCTGCCTAGGAAACATCGAGAGTCACCTGCCTGGGCTGGCTGGACAATAAAAACGGGAAAAATTGTAAAAGACACAGTCTCCGCCCTCGAAGCTTACACCCTCGGGGCGAGACCTACAGGAAAGTAGATAATCCCATTATTCTCTGATAAACGCCGAGCTGCTTGCTTGCCTGAGCTCTGGGAGCGGATAGGGAGTAACCGGCTGTTCCCCGCGGCCTTGTTGAGAAAGCCTTCACCTGGGAGTGACACTTGCGCTGAATCTTGAGCATAAGTAAGTTCTCCAGTTTAGGGAAGAGAGGGAAGGGCATTGCAAGGAGAGGAAGCAAAGAGGAAGAGGATCTGTTTTGAGTAATTGGGTATGAAAACAGATACTGGAGCAAGAACTTTGTTGAAAAACCTTTAACCACTGTTTAGTTTGGATGAGAACATTCCCAGGCTCCTACCATGTGATACGCAAAGTATTTTCCAAATCAGTGTTTATGCTAAGGAGATGAGCAGTTGAGCTAGACAATTACAGCTTCATCTTTGTCCTGTAAGAACACTTAGATGTCAGAAAGCTAAAAGAAACAGGTTGTTGTCATAATTCACTAAGTTATTATAGCCAACATTTTGCTAAATTGGAAATTGCCAATAATTTCAAGTTGTCTACATAAGAGCAATCTAATAGTAATTTTGTGATACAGTTTCTCAGAGAAACTGAGAAAATTCTCAGGCAAAAAACAAAAACGTCATCAGTCTTGACTTATCAAAATTTTCTCCTATAAGCTCTGCTCAAAAGAAGTCATTCTGTAGTCCAAGTTAGGGCTAATGAGGTCCGTCAAACGGGAACCATTTTCTTATATCAAAATAGAAGCCATCCTCTTCTAAAGAAAGAGTCTGGTATTTTGCTGTAGAGTTTCCACTCACCTTCCTTTAGACACATCATTTTCATATTATTACATGTAAAATAATATGTATACTATATGAAAAATACTATGTATACTATAGTTTGATTTGGCTTACCCTACTCACCCTACAAATAAGCCCAACACTTAGTAGGAAAACAAAAAAGTTATTCTAACCCTGCTAATATGGTTTGGATCTGTGTCCCACCTGAATCTCATGTCAAATTGTAATCCCCAGTGTTGGAGGTCGTTGGATCATGGGGGCAGATTTCCCCATTTTTGCCATTCTGGTGATAGGGAGTTCTGGTGAAATCTGTTATTTAAAAGTGTGTGGCGCCTCCCCCACCCTCCCTCCTCCGCCATATAGGACGTGCCTGCTTCCCTTGGTTTTCTGCCATGATTCTGAACTTCCTGAGGCCTCTGCAGAAGTCCAGCAGAAGCCCTCGGGGTTCCTGTACAGCCTGCAGAGCCGTGAGCGAATTAGCACTCTTTTCTTTATAGCAGTGCAAGAATGGACTAATGCACCTGTCATAGGCCAAGTGGGTGCTCTGTTAAGCATGATTTCACATCAAGTTCTTGGAATTTTCCGGGAAGCATTAGAAGAATCATATGAATGAAAGACTTCAGGCAAAATATGGATACTTTGTTCCATGCTGGAATCTGTTCAAACCATCATACCCTACTTCGATGGGTCCTGGAGCTCATTTCATTCTGCTGTTCTTCAAAAACAAAAGAGAATGGGGGTTGGGAGAAAATATAAAATCTAATAAAGTTTCTACTGTTCTTTGCTCTAAAAGAGAATTAACCAACCGGGCACGGTGGCTCGCGCCTGTAATCCCAGCACTTTGGGAGGCCGAGGCGGGTGGATCACGAGGTCAGGAGATCCAGACCATCCTGGCTAACACGGTGAAACCCCGTCTCTACTAAAAATACAAAAAATTTAGCCAGGGGTGCTGGCGGGCGCCTGTGGTCCCAGCTACTCAGAAGGCTGAGGCGGGAGAATGGCGTGAACCCGGGAAGCAGGGCTTGCAGTGAGCGGAGCTTGTGCCACTGCACTCCAGGCTGAGCGACAGAGCAGGACTCCGTTTCAAAAAAAAAAAAAAAAAAAAAAAAAAGATAATCTTTCAAATATTAATGTAGTAGCACTAGTAACAATTATACATTTGGTAGGTAATGCCATTAATTTAGACAATCACAAATCTGCTCTACATAATGATTTGTAAATGCTAGCTGACTGCATAGGCTAAGGTTCAGAACTTTAATGAAAGTCTTCCACACACCAAAGAGGTCAATACAGAAAGAGAAGTTTCATATAGTAGCAGTGAATAAACAAGATCATTTGGTAGTTTGTATTATAGCATGCTAAGGCAATATTGTTTCAAAGCAGATAAGACCACAGACCCAGAATCCTATTTAATTGTTAAAACCTGGTATTTCTTTGCACTACTAGGTTTGAGCACTGCCATCTAATGGCAGGAACAGGAAAATCACCCGCAAAAATAACTCGAACCCTATTCAGCGAATACATTTATTAATCAAGACCCTGTGTAAGAATACCAAAAGAGCTGGGCACTGTGGCACGTGTCTATAATCTCAGCACTTTGGGAGGCGGGAGGATAACTTGACAGGAGTTTGAGACTAGCCTGGGCAACATAGCAAGGCTTCTCTACAAAACTGGAAAAAAAAGAATACTAAGAGATTCAGATGATATTATACATATACTGACAAAATAAGATGTATAACTAAATAAAAGGAAAATTAAGTTGGGTCAAAGGTAGAAATAATGTGTTATGGGAGGACAGAGATGAAGATCTTTTTTTTTTAGACGGAGTCTCTCTGTTGCTCAGGCTGGAGTGCAGTGGTGCAATCTCCGCTCACTGCAACCCCCGCCACCCTGGTTCAAGCGATTCTCCTGCCTCAGCCTCCTGAGTAACTGGGATTACAGGCATGTGCCACCATGCCCAGCTAACTTTTTGTATTTTTAGTAGAGATGGGGTTTCACCATGTTGGCCAGGCTGGTCTTGAACTTCTGACCTCAGGTGATCTACCTGCCTCAGCCTCCCAAATTGCCAGGATTACGGGCATGAGCCACTGCATCCAGACATAAGATTACTTATTTTTATTTTTTTCATTTTTGAGAAGACAGATAAAGATTACTTATTTTTATTTATTTTGATAAATTTGATACCAAAAAAATGTTTCTAACTGAAGAGATCAGGGAAGTACAGAAAAGGGAAAGGAAAGGAATGATGTCTAAAGTGGGCCTTAAAGAATAGGATTCATGCATAAGTAGATAATAGCAAAGAATATTCCTATGGAGAGACCATCAAAGACATACAAATGGCTAAAAGTAAGTATCTTTATAAGGGGAACAATGAGCAATTAAAAGGAATAAATAAGAGAAAAGTAGATTTAAATTGAAACATAAGGACCTGGAATGTTAGGGTAAAGCAGAGGTCTGAAGACTTTTTTCTGAAACTTACTAGCTTGCAATAGGGTAAAAATCTCAGAAGTTTCAGTTTTTGGCAAATACTATTAGACTTTTTTAGTGGAAATTGACAAGATAATCCATAATTTGCATAGAAATGCAGAAGATCTAGAATAGCCAAAAGATTTATGAAAAAGGTAAGCAAAATTGGAGAAGTTACACTTTGAGATTTTTAAAAATTTAGGTCAGGCAGGTGGCTCACGCCTATAACCCCAGCACTTTGAGAGGCCAAGGAGTAAGGATTACTTGAGCTCACGAGTTCAAGACCAACCTGAGCAACATAATAAAACTTCATCTCTACAAAAATTTAAAAAGTGGGCCGGGTGGTGCATGCTTGTGGTCCTAACTACTCAGGAGGCTGAGGTGGGCAGATTGCCTGAGCTCAGGAGTTTGAGACCAGCCTGGGCAACATTTGAGACCCTGTCTCTACAAAAAAATAAAAATAGGCCAGTAGTGGTGGCTCATGCCTGTAATCCCCACGTTGGTAGGCCAAGGCAGGAGGATTGGTTGAGCTCAGGAGTTCAAGACCAGCCTAGGCAACATAGAGAGACCCCAATTCTACCCATGAAAAATTTTTTTAATAAGAAAAAAATATTAGCAGGATGAGGGGGTCACATGCCTGTGGTCCCAGCTACTTGGGAAGCTAAGGTGGGAGGAACGCTTGATAGCTTGAGGCCAGGAGATTGAGGCTACAGTGAGCCATGTTCATGCCACCGTACTCCAGCCTGGGCAACAGAATGAGACCTTGTCTCAAAAAAAAAAAAAAAAAAAAAAAAAAAAAACAGAAACAAACTAAATAAACAACAACAAAAAATCTTAATGCACTGCTACAGGAATCAAGATATCAAGATGGTGTGGTATTGGCACAGAACTAAGCATACAGAGCAATGAAATAAAAATGAGAGTACAGAAATAAACCCTTATATTCATGATTGATTGATTTTCAACAAATGTGCCAAGAAAATTCAACAAAGAAACGATAGTCTTTTCAAAAAATGGGGTCTGGTGCCAGGGCAATTGGATATTCATATGCAAAAAAAAAAAAAAGAAGAAGAAGAAGAAGAAGAACTTACATCCTTACTAATGCCAGATTTTTCTCCATCACTTTGCCAGCCAGAGACCTCCAGCCAGCAATACCCCTCCCAGGCCTTGCTCAGGCCTGGATTTGCCACAGGAGATGCCCCATCTACTTGGCTTGCTGTGCCACACCTGACTTTTATCCTGGCATGGATCCCATGGCCACCACAACTAGGTGCTCAGCCCCTGGAAGAAGGGGGTTTGTGAGTGAGCAAGTGTGGGGTCAGGACAGCTGTTCCAAGCACCAGCACAGGAGTGGGCTCTGTGCAGGGTTTGTCACTGGACAAGGTGTGTTGAACTGAGGGGAACACAGTAGCATCCAGGCAGTGGTGCCCACAACCCCAAAGCCCCAGAGGGGGTGTTACAGCATGCTAATTAGCTCTTTTAGTCCTGCCGTCTGTAGCCCAACAGATGGAAGTACATTAACAGCTCTGTCAGCCCTGTTCTGTTGGCCGGCTCCAGCCCCATGGCTCCAGGGCTGGCTTGGCCCTACCACTGCTTCCCATTGCGTGGGGAGGCTACCCTCTGCCAGTGGAAGGCAGAGGTCCACAGTGTTACAGCCTTCTTTGTACTTGTGTTGAGTGTGTACTGAACTCTTGTCCCATGTCCAAGAAGAATGAGGTTACACTGACAAAGGGTGAGGAGGGTGCAGAAGAATTTTATCGAGTGACAAACAGCTTTCAGCAGAGAGGGGATGCAAGGGTGGTCCCCTATCCAAAGTCAGGTGGTCTCTCTCTCACTGTGGCTGGGTACAGGTCTTTTATGGACTCAGAATGGAGCAGTGCATGCTGATTGCTTTGTGAATATGCAAAAAAGGCCAGATGAGCACAACAGTGTAAAAAACCAATTAGGGAAGGGTAGGTATATATAAAATAGGTGAAGGGCAGAGATCAATCAGAAAAAAGGATGCCAAACAGGAAGAGAGGCTCTCAGTCTGGTCTGTGAATTTACCCAGGACTTGTAGCTGGGCTTTAAACTGTCTTCAGCTTGAAGGTCAGGTTTCACCAGGGACCCGCCCCATGTCTGCCTAGGATTTGTCTTCCTTCTGCCACTATCATCGCCACACATCATACAAAAGAAAATTAACCCTAATGGGTTACATGGACCTAAATATAGAAACTAAAACTCTAAATTCACTAAAAAAAAAAGTTAGAGGAGAAAATTATCATGACCTTGTAATCACTCAAGGAATTAATCTTGCCCACTGCTCAGAAAAGCCAATGCGCTGAGAACAGCAGATTTTCACAGCAAAGAAAGAGTTTGCTCACAGGGTCAGCCAAGTGAGAGGACAGGAGATAATTCTTAAGTTTATCTTCCTGAGAATTCGGAGGCTAGGGTTTTTGAAAGATAATTTGTCAGGCAGAGGGCTACAGAATGGGGAATGCTAATTGGTTGTGTTGGGGAGGAAATCAGACAGATATTGAGACTATCTTTGTGCAGAGACAGTTCCTGGGTGTGGGTCACCAGTCCAGGTAGCATCAGTTGTTCCACTGGAATGCAAAGTCTGAAAAATATTTCAAACACCAGTCTCAGGTTTTACAATAACAATGTTATCTATAGGGGCAATTAGGGAAATTACCAATCTTGTGACCACCCCATGTGACTCCTGAGCAGTATACAATGATTACTTATCTTTAACTATGCATATGTGTTAGCAGAATTCAGGCCTCTCCCATAATTCTAATTCTATGGCTTTTCATTAGTTTTTACAAAGGGTGTTTTGGTCCCTGAACCAAAGGGACCGAAGGGGCTATTATCATCTTTGCTTTAAGGTTAAACTACAAACTAAATTCTTCCATTAGTAAGCTTGGCCTAAGCCCAAGAAAGAGCAAAGACAGCTACGGTCACCTTGTGAGGTTAGAAGCAAGATAGAGTCAGTTATGTTAGATTTTTCTCACTGTCATAATTTTTGCAAAGATGGTCTCAACCTTGGATTAGTCAAATAGTTTCTAGACATGACACCAAAAGCACAAGCCATAACAGAAAAAAAATAAATAAATTGCACTTAACTAAAATTAGAACCATTTGAGCTTCGAAAGGCAGAATTAAGAAAATGAAAAGACAAACCATACACTGAGAGAATCAACCTAAGGGAGAAACTGAGGCAAAATTAATATAAGTAAAGAGTTTATTTGGGCCAAATTTGAGGACTACAACTTGGGAGCATAGATTCAAGGTGCCTTAAATATATGCTGTAGTTAGCAGCAGTAAAACATGGATTATTTTTTTGAGATGGGGTTTCACCATGTTGCCCAAGCTGGCCTGGAACTCCTGGGCTCAAGCAATCCTCCCACCTCAGCCTTTCAAGTAGCTGGGATTATAGGCATACACCATTGTGCCCCGCTTAAAAGTGGATTTTTAAAGGAAAAAAGAGGTAGTTGTCAAGTTGTTTACAAATAATTTATATAAAAATAACATAAGCTATTGATTGATTATACATTATTCTTTGTATCATATATTCCAGGAACGTGAAGATAATAGACGAGACAGCTACTCAGAAAACTATGGGGAAGAAAAGAACGATCAAAATGCCTTTAAACAACTGCCCTCAGGGTATGAGAGAGAGAGAGAGAGAGAGAAAGAGAGAGAGAGAGAGAGAGGGGGGGGGGGGGGGGGGAAGTGGGGTATGACTGAAGTTTTTCATGTCTCTTTGGGCCTGATACATTTTGCAAACCTCATATAGCTCAGACTGCTCTGAAGTATGTTTCTTTCTTCATTTGCCCCTTTTGATAGAGATCTTTCTCTTCTGAAAGCATTGATCATTAATATTTTAGATTTAAATTTCTTCCATGTTGCTGGAAAGGCTAATTTCCAGGTAATCTGCCCCATGTCAAGGGAAAAAGGGAAGGGAGTGTGGCTTAAGAATTAAGTGAGGTCAGCCAGGCACTGTGGCTCATGCCTGTAATGCCAGCACTTTGCAAGGCCGAGGCAGCTGGATCACATGAGGTCAGGAGTTCAAGACCAGCCTGGCCAATATGATGAAACACTGTCTCAACTAAAAGTACAAAAATTAGCTGGACTTGGTGGCACACGCCTGTAATCCCAGCTACTCGGGAGGCTGAGGCAGTAGAATCACTTGAACCCAGGAGGCAGAAGTTGCGGTGAGCCGAGGTGGTGCCACTGCACTCCAGCTTGGGCGACACAGTGAGTCTCCATCTTTAAAAAAAAAAAAAAAAAAAAGGAATCAAAGTGAGGTCCCAAGACTGAATTCATTGGCAACACAAAGGGATAAACCAAGGGAATCTCCATGAGGTCCATCTGCTGACAAAGGAACCACATTATGTTGGAAAATTTTAAGTCATGATTGGTTTTTTTGTTGTTAACCTTAGGCATCCAGAAATATAAGGTATTATCAATTTAAGTATCAAAAATATGATAAACAATAAGGACAATTATTAACAAAACAATTTGAAAAGTGTTCCTGTTCCTGAAGGTAACCAAATAAATATTTCATCTACTTCTTGTCCTGGTCTGAAGAACAAGGTGTTGAAGACCTCCGATGATGAAGATGTCCATGCAGACAGGGCTGCCTGATGTGGTCCATTCGATGTGGTTGGAAGGAGTGCTTTATTTGATGGTGTCCAATAAACAAAGTCTCCAAGTTGGACACCGTGATCTTTGATGTCTCTAGCTGTTAAAAGAATCCTCAGTTAACTTAGAATTTTTATTGAGAAGCTTGTAAGGCCTTGGCAATAATTAAAAATACCCCCTTTTTTTTTTTTTTTTTTTTTTAGAAAACCACCTTTAAGGAGAGCTGGTTTGTGAGCTGCTTTTTTCAGGGCGCATGGGACTTCTCATTATCACTTCAATGGGAGAGAGCTGATGTATTTCAAGCAGGGTAGAATTTAAGCTAAGCAAATGAAAGAGTCTTAGGCCAAGGAAGATAAGACGTTTCTGTAACCTTTGCCAGTCGATTTTTTATTTTCCCATTTGTGCATTCCACCAGTCTGGAAGTCTGAGTGTAGTATGCACAATGGAAATGCTAATTCATCTCTTCTCAATCAGCTTTCACCACACAACATTTCTGTAAACCTTTTATAAACTCTTATAATTGTTTTCAATTTTCTTTCTTTCCTCAGTTTTCTATATCCATTCAGTTTTATCATTTTTTTAATCTCTTCAACTTAAAACAACCTTTAAAAACCTCTGAACAAAATTGCTTTCTTTTTAACAAAAATCACATTCTCATGCCTCCTTCATAATCCTTTCAACTAAAAATACATCTTATTTTTCTTACACACGGTATACACAATTGTTTCACTTATATCTAGTAATTTTAATTACGTATGTTAATTACAATTTTAACTCTTAGTAACCTTAATTTCTAGTGAAAAACCTAGAAAGTAATTTTGAACTGTTTTATATCAGTATTTGTAGATAAATTTTTAAATTAACAGACACAAATGTAATTAGTTTTTCTATACCACATAAAAACAAGATGCTAAAATAGACAAACTTAAACTTATGTTTAGTGATTAATATTTCAGTATTTTAACTTGCTTAGAAATGACTCTGACATTTTATGGTTATCTATTAATTTAATACAGCATAAATTTAAAATAACACAGGAATTCTCTCTATTGTCTTCTCAGTCATCCTGGGTCCCAAGTACCCATATGGCATCCAGGATGGCTGTAAAGGGTGGAGCTCATCTGGGTCCTGAATTTACATACCAGGTCTAGAGCTTAGGAGAGAGGGCAGAGCTATGAAGAGGATGCCTGGAGGGTCCGACCCTACCCAACATAAACAGGAGGCATAGCTTGGCCAGGGAGGATACGTTGGGTTTGCCCTACACCTGGCAGCCTAGACATTGTGGACATATGTATGTCTTCAGGCTTCACCATGGCCACCTGTCTAGACCCCAGAATCTAAAGACTCAAAATCAAAGTTGTAAGCTCACAGTAAGATATGTTCAAGGCTTCAGGGAAGCCCAACAGCCAGCCCTCAGAGCTTTGGCTCAAAGACAAATCAAGCATCAAAAATATCACAGAAATGGCCAGGCATAGTGGCTCATACCTATAATCCCAGCACTATGGGAGGCCAAGGTAGAAGCAGCACTTGAGTCCAGGTTTTGAGGCCAGCCTAGGCAACATAGGGAGACCCTGTCTCTACAAAAAATTTAAAAATTAGCCAGGTATGGTGACACACACCTGTAGTTCCAGCTACTTGCGATGCTGAAGCAGGAGGATTGTTTGAGCACAGGAGTTCAAGGCTGCAGTGAGCTATGATTGTGCCACTGTACTCCAGCCTGGGCAACAGAGTAGGACTCTATCTCACCAAAAAAAAAAAAAAAAAAAAAAAAAAAAAATCAAGAAAACTTAAAAAATCACAGAAGCAATGGTTTTGTTTTTTTGTTTTTGTTTTTGTTTTTGTTTTTTGTATGTGTCTTTGTTTTCGTTTTGTTTGTTTTTTGGTTTTTGTTTTTTTTGAGATGGAGTCTCGCTCTGTTGCCCAGGCTGGAGTGCAGTGGTGCGATCTCCACTCACTGCAAGCTCCATCTCCCGGGTTCACGCCCTTCTCCTGCCTCAGCCTCCCATGTAGCTGGGACTACAGGTGCCTGCCACCATGCCCGGCTAATTTTTGTATTTTTAGTAGAGACGGGGTTTCACCATGTTAGCCAGGATGGTCTCGATCTCCTGACCTCGTGATCCGCCCATCTCAGCCTCCCAAAATGCTGGGATTACAGGTGTGAGCCACCGTGCCCGGCCTGTTTTGTTTGTTTTTATAGAGACAAAGTTTCACTATGTTGCCCAGGCTGGTATCAAACTTCCTGGCTCAAGTCATCCTCCAGCCTTGAGTTCCCAAAGTGCTGGAATTACAGGCGGCAACCACAGTGTTTGTTCACCAAACTCTGTTACCTTAAGAAATCTAGTGGAAAGAGTATAAATATGTCTCACCAAGAAACCTAGGTGAAAATGTCTGAATTATATTTAATACTGAACTTCAAAAGCATTTGGGCTTATTTGCTTAATTAATAAATGCTCATTTATTCATAAATCAATTTGGCACCATGTAGACTATATATAAACACAGGCATGTACCCACTGGGGAGAGCAAAATCACGTGGTGATCATTGAACAGGCCCTGGAGACAAAAAATCCTCATCTGAGGAATTTAGAAGGGAGCAAAGACCACGTGGTGACTATCAAACAGGCCATCCAGAGGCAAAACTCCTTATCTAGGGAAAATTAGAAGTAATTAAACTTCCCTGGTAGCCAAAGTCAGCATGTGGTTCCAGGTCTCTCTCAACTTTTATAAGTAACTACAATTCCTATACATCTCTGGAATGCCATGTGGAAACACATTTTACAATCCTACGCTCCCGCCTTAAGGTCCATAAATTCTCCATACGCTCCCGCTGTAAGGTCCATAATTTCTCCAGAGAAAAATCTGCCACAGCATGCTCAGTCCTCTCACTGAGGCACCCCACTGCACTCCTCTGCCACATTCTTTCTAATAAACTTCCCTTTTTCAAATCTATACTGGTGCTGATAAATTCTTTTTACCAACCTGTGATTCAAACTCCTCCCAATGCTGAGGCTCTGACACCTTGTCTGGCCCATATGGGAACTTTACTGGGATTTCCCCCTTCTTTTTCTTCCCTACTTCCCTCAGTGGTCTGGTTCACTTGGGAACCAAAGGCCCCTGGCCAAGGCTGGGATCTTGAAGCACTAGAGAAGGGATACTTACACTTTATTGTTGTCCTTAGGGGTGAGGGACTAGCCGTTTCTTTTCTATTTTTGGACTGCCAGTGAACCAGCTTGAGTACTCATTGGCAATTGAGGGTTTCTGGCTGAGGGCACTCCCTCATATCACCCGAACCGGTGTTACCCGAAGGCATAACAAGAGAGTGAATTCGCTATTATCTGTCAGGGTGGCGAGTCCACTTTTAACACTCTGTAAACTGTGCCTTGGAAATGAGCAGCAGCGATCTGAACACTGCACAGACACACTCTACAGGTTGCCGACCCACTTTTGCATTCTACTTCATCACAGGCACCTCATCCCAAGTTACGGGTGAGTTCTCCTTCACATTAGGCTTGAGCTGACCACTCAAACAAGGGCACACTTGGACTGGTCATCCAGGAAAGGGCAGGCCCTCTATTTGTGGTGGGACGCCCCCAAATAGAGTGAGTCGAAGGGAAAAGGGATATCCAAATCCCTCAGGAAAGCCTCAGGGATCTTATAGTCCCTTACCAAAACCCAACATGGGTTCAATTTATTCTTTAATTCATTCCTTCTTGCTTTTAGGTTGCAGTCTTAAAAATTGGTCCCATTTTAACCCAAAAACTCTCAAAAAAAAAAAAAAGTGTATAATTTTCTTTTGTAATCAGGGGTCCCATACCTCTGACTTGATGTTCAGGTCTGTTTAGCTTTATCCCAAAACCCAAAATTACATAAAAATCACCGTGTATGCTTCCAAGGAACTTCCTCTCTCCCTGATTCTGATGTCTTAGATGATCATTTATTTTGTCTATCACACTCCCCTCAGCATGTTCCCCCTGCATTTATGTCCTCTTCATCTGTTCCATCCCCCAACCTCCTCCACATGCAATACTCACACAGGAGTCACATATGCCACCAGTAGTACAGAGTCCTCAGAAAATCCCAAAAATACTTTGCCTCTCCACAAGGTGGCAAATGGAGATTCGGGAACAACTCGAGTTCATGTTTCTTTTCCAATGTCTGATCTTTCACAAATTCAATTTAAGTTTAGTTCATTTAGCCAGGATCCCTCTTAAATTCATTCAAAAATTTTCAGGTTTTAACTATTGCCTTTGATTTAACCTGGCAAGATATTATTGTGTTATTAACTAGTTGTTCCTGTGAAGAAAAATCATGTATATAAAAATTTTTGCAATCTATCCATCTGACAAAGGTCTAACATCCAGAATCTACAAGGAACTTAAACGAATTTACAAGAAAAAAAAAACCCCATTAAAAAGTGGGCAAAGGATATGAACAGACATTTCTCAAAAAAAGACATTTATGCAGCCAACAAACATATGAAAAAAGAAGCTAATCATCATTGGTCATTAAAGAAATGCAAATCAAAGCCACAATGATATACCATCTCATACCAGTTAGAATGGTGATCATTAAAACGTCTGAAAATAACAGATGTTGGCAAGGATGCAGAGAAATATAAACGCTTTTACACTGTTGGTGGGAGTGTAAATTAGTTCATCCATTGTGGAAGACAGTGTGGCAATTCCTCAAGGATCTAGAACCATAAATACCATTTGACCCAGCAATCGCATTACTAGGTATATACCTAAAGGATTATAAATCATTCTACTATAAAGACACATGCACACGTATGTTTATTGCAGCACTATTTACAATAGCAAAGACTTGGAGCCAACCCAAATGCCCATCAATGATAGACTGGATAAAGAAAATGTGGCACATATACACCATGGAATAATATGCAGCCATAAAAAAGAATGAGTTCATGTCCTTTGCAGGGACATGGATGAAGCTGGAAACCATCATCCTCAGCAAACTAACACAGGAACAGAAAACCAAACACTGCATGTTCTCACTATGTAGGAGCTGAACAATGAGAACACATGGACACAGGGAGGGGAACATCACACACCAGGGCCTGTTGGGGGGGTGGGGTGAAAGGAGAGGGATAGCATTAGGACAAATACCTAATGCATGCGGGGCTTAAAACCTAGATGATGGGTTG